TTCCGTTGCCAAAGAATATTGTATTGTAAAAAGTTATTCGGAGAATTCTAAAGAAATCGCAAACAAAATTTGGGGTAACAAAAAAGCAGAACAAGAAACACTTGAATTAAAAAACTGAAATGACAACCGAAAAGTCGCTTCCATGAAACGTCAGCAGATAAAATAATTTATTATTATGTTTGTTCCCATTTTAATACCTTTTTCAAAAGTCAATACTTTCGCAATACCTATATTTCTGATTAAAATTGGCTTTAAACGTCCTCTCTAATCCGTTAACGGAACTCGTCGGTATAAGCGCCATTACATTGAAATACAATGCATTCGAGTGTAAAATTGTAATTGCTTCAACAGAAATCTATTCAATAGATCAGTAATATTTTACTTATAATGCTAGTGAAAACCGTTTTATTCTTTTTGAGCCAATTGTATTTTATCTTTTTTTTTTGTTTGGTTTGAATTCTCGTCTGACAGATTTTTATTAGGTATTGGGGTTTAATTAAACTACACTGTTTGCAATGCTGGGCCAAAATAAATAAACATTTCAGTGATTCGTAGATTCAGATGTGCACTACCAATTTTACGAGTGGCTAATGGAAAAGTTTAAATCAATACCTACTTATATTTGTTTTGGACAGAAACTCCAGTCACAAATAATAATCATTGGGATATTCAAATATATCAATTACCTAAACTGCTACTCTTTGCTGTGAAGAGTTTCATTGCAAACAAAACATTTCATAACAGATAATTTATCTATTTATCTGACAGTGAGCCACAAACATATTCATTTTTGTCCTTCCGGCTAAAAGTGGAATAATTTTTTTTAAAACGGTGATATAAAGTCAGTACGAGAATCTCGCGCATCATAATTTCTAAAATTATGTAGAAAGATTTGCATATGCCTGAAATATACATGGTATAAATTTCAAGTTATCTTTGCACAGCTGATTAAAAATGCAAAATATAAAACGTATGTAACGTGTTTCCGGCTTTATTGAAATTTTTGGGATGTAATGAAATTTTAAACAAATATTTTAATGTGCACCTGTTTCACTGCGGTGGAACAAATGAAATAAAATAACTTATTTGAAATTATTGGCTTCTGCGATAAGTATATTACATATTTGGATGTATTGTTTGAAATTTCCTATTTTCAAAAACTAGATTTAGTAGTTGGGGCTTATAAGTTTTTCTTGTAGGACTTTTGTTATTTTAAGGCGGCGGTAAGGGGTTTAGGTACCAATTACTAACAAAAAACTAAATTAGCAATTTCAAAATTATTTCAACACACATACTTTTTGTTTTATACGCACAAAATCGCATTAACGGAGCAGAGGACAAACGAGGCCAAGAAACTAATGACGCCACTACAACCTGGATCAGGTATTGCTTCGGATTGAACAGGGTCATCTCTGATCCAAGGATCTACGAGTACCATTGAAAGCAAGAAACCAGACACTATGAAAAATTTGGACAACCAAAAACCTGACGCCAAGGGAGCACAAAAGTTATGGTACCTGGACTACTTACTTTCTTTATCGAGATAACGCATCTGGTTAGACGGCAAAACCCAACCCGTGACGGGATCTCCTGGCGTACCACAGTTTTATCCATTTATCTTAACTTTAGTAATTGTATAAACCTTATTCCTTTCGCTGTTGTATTATGTTTTATTTTATTGTATTTTTATTATATTTTGTTGTATTGTATTTTATCGTTTGTATTTTATTGTATTGTATTGTATTGTATTGTATTGTATTGTATTGTATCGTATTGTAATTTATTGTGTTTTATCGTATTGTAATCCTATCGAATATCTTGTCATATTTCATTTTTTTTTTGATGTCTCTTCTACAAGCATTGGGGGCCAATGCTTTTCCTAGGGGGGCATATGTCAACTACTCAAGTAAATACCACTCTGTACATCAATTTTACTAAAGTGTGTCGACGAGTCAGCATTAATTTGGTATAAATAACGCGCCGAAATCCATTACCGGCAGACTAAGGCTAGTGCAAAGTACCTCAATTGGGAAAAGCCCCTCTAACTAAGTTTTCTCCCAGTGCAAACTACCTTTAATGGGAAACGCCCTCTTGAGAGTATTGAACGCCGCAGACTAGGTCTAGTGCAAACTACCCTTAATGGGAAATGACCTTCTGGACCTGTCTCAAACCAGACCCTTCTGGAAGTATTGAACGCAGCAGACTAGGTCCAGTGCAAACTACCTTTTTTGGGAAACTCCCTCCTAGATCTGTCTCAAACCCAGCTTCAGTCTTCAGTCAGGCTAAGTGTGCAGAGTGTACATAATACAGAGTGGCCTATAAGTAGTACTTTCCTCCGTAGAAAAGTCGTCATGATACTATTTCTAGGGTAATATTATTATTATTCAATACATATCTTAGTGAGTTTCTCTCTACCTGAACCCGACCTACGCCCCCAGGTCACGCTCCTGTTGTGTCGTCCCAGGACAAAACGTATTGTGACAATATATACTCACGCAATTGACATATTGAAATAACAAACAAAGTAACCATTACCTCTGGTGTCTGTTGATGGACAACCTGCTGGCCATAATTCAACTGTGGGAGGTCGAGCTGCAGGCTTACGCGGATGACATACCAATTGTAATAAGGGGAAAATCGAAACGTAAACTCTCTGAAACTTTTCAGGAAATAATAGACACAATACTTGTATGGTGCGAGAGTGCGGATATGACAGTAAATCCTAACAAAATAACTGTAGTGCCCTTTACAAGAAGAAGGAAGCTTGACCATCTGATACCCCTCAACCTACGACTGGTGGTGGTGCCCTTTGCAAACGAAGTCAAATATCTAGGAATTACACTTCCATCTGGCAAAAATAAAACAGGAAGCTAGCTACTCATTATGGACCTGCCGCAGGATCTGTGGGAAATCATGGGGAATTGGGCGCAAGCTAATACTATACTGGTTATATCATGGTCCTGGTCATCAGATCAGTGATAACATATGGCTCAGAGGTCTCGTGGGACAAGGAGCAAAGCGCAATGCCCAAACCAAGCTCAACGGACAACAAAGACAGGCCTGTTTGGTAATAACAGGAGCACTACGCCAACAGCAGCCATGGATCTTCTCCTAGAAATTCGCTCTTACATATCTATCTGGAAAGGCCCCCCTAAAACCAAAATATAGATTTTGGAATATTTTGGATTCTTATTCAACTTCTCCGTCTTTTAAATAAATAAATAATAATCATAAAATATCTATTTTAATTTTAATATAATATAATATGGTTTCTTACAACGTATATATCCAAAAAAATTGTATACCTAAACACCACGAATAATAAAAGTTTGCAGGTACCTACCCTTCTTATGCCATAAAATAAGATCCAACTCTAATAAATCCTGCACAAACTTTGCTGTAAACGCGTAATTTAGAAAATTAATAGATAAAATATCTCAAAGCATTAATCCTAGTATGATATTAAAGTTCCAGAGTTTCGAATATGACCTATTTTCTGTATCTGGGATATCCGAAAAGAAGGAAGCAATCTAGCTAAAGTGTTTCCGTCTGCCATAAAGTTTTTTTTTTTTTTTAATGAAAACTGCACTGATTAAAATATTTCAATAAATCCAACTCACATCTTTTCCAAATAAACATATGTTTAATATTTGACATCATTTCAATAATTGCCGCGTACCTGCAATTTGTAAAATGGTACAGCACTAGGAAGTTCTATAATAATGTAATTCGAAAATTATAATTTAATAATGAGAGTTCTCCCAGTAGAAATTTTAAATTACAAATATTTAGTAAGTCGTTATAAGAATATTTGTATGTCGCTCGGAAATGCGCTAAGTATATTCTTACCACGATACAAATTTGTTTCGCAACAAAGTGCGAGGAATAAATTTGCGCGTATGCTTATTCCATTCTTTATACTGTGGCAGGAAATATTTCGATACTGTGTCGTGGTGCAAATAGTGTTCATGACGTAAGTTCAAGGACGGCTGCAAAATAAATAAATTTAAAAAAAAAATAACACAAGTTAAGAACAAAAAATGTAATTTATCAAAGCCAGGTTGGCACGGTCCAAGAGTACTTGGATCAAGTACCGTTGGACGCTGCGCGCGCCTCACTTGGACGATACTTGGATCGTATCACATGTTTATCCAAGTCCAGTTGGAGTTTCAACGTCCAAGTAAGTAGGCGGCCTGTCAACTTACTTGATCATCCAAGTGTACTTGGACCGTGTCAACCTGGCTTAAACCACCCTTTCGGATGAAGCATAAGGCCGGTATTGTCAAGATAAAAATTAATTTTTGAACAAAGTTTTATAATTTTATCTTTATAGTTCTTTACTTCAAGTGCGGATAACTCTTTAAACAATTTTGTTTTAGTTATTTATATTTTCACATTTTTTTGCGATTCTTTGTCAGCGTAATTTTATATTTTTTCTTCGCTAAACCTATTTCCCCAAAGTAATGGAAATAAAATTTTATTTTCTATAATATAAGGCATATAGCCTCGAGGTTTTTTTCACGGCGTCGAAAATGCCTTTATTAAATTTACTTCATTTGCTTTGTAGGTACCTCTTTATTACGAAAAGGAAAAAAAATTATACACAACTGAGAGGGAAAATAATATAGGTAAACACAGATCATTTGATTTTTTATTATGGAACATCTTTTTTTATTTTTTCTCAGCCCACATTTATATTTTTTATGGAACATCCATTTTCTGTTATATTGTAAATGCGTGTATTCTACTTATTGTCAATAGGCCTTTACGGAAACGCTGATCCAATTAACCCGATCACCAGCTGATGTAATTTGTCTTTTTTCAATCGTGCTCATTGAAGAAAGATGACAAACAAACAGCTGGAGATCGGGTCAATCGAATCAGCGTTTCCGTAGTGTTTCTATTTTGTTGTTAAATTAAATACTTGCCAGGCAAAAAACATATATTTTTCTCTCATACCTATTTATGATTATACTAAGCAAATTTTTTTTTTGTTGCAGTGTTTTCTGGAGGCGAAGCAGCCCACGCAGTTAAAAGATTCACAGGTTTATACACGGGACCATATTTTGATCCCACTACGACAACAAATATCACAACTCAACTGGGAACACATGCTTATTTACCCTGTAAAGTGAAACAGTTAGGAAACAAATCAGTTTCCTGGATTAGGAAAAGAGACGCTCACATTCTTACTGTAGATAGATACACTTTTATTGCCGACGATAGATTTCAGGCGTTTCTAGTCGAAGCTACTGATACGTGGACGCTACAAGTAAAATATGTCCAGGCAAGGGATGCTGGGCAGTATGAGTGCCAAGTTAGCACTGAACCAAAAATGAGCCATTTTATTACACTAAATGTTGTTGGTAAGTAGAATATGTTTTAACAATCTATTAATTTTCTATATTCACTTTGTGATATTCAATAAGTTTGTTTCTCAAAATCAAGACCATACCAAATTAGAATTTAGAGATAATGGAAACACAGAAATTTAGTGTAGGTGTAATCGGTATATCACAATATCTTCATGAACACATTTATGAGTTTGATTTGGCTACTGCAATTTTTGATAATAAAGTTAACTATGAAACTCTTTCTCTTTTTCATCCTGTTATTTATTCATCCTTGAATATATGTAAGCCTCTCCTAATTTTCGACAGTGGACTTTTTTTGAGCCATTCGTCTACAATGTGTGATCCTGCAGTTAGTTTTAGGGGGTCGATCCAACTCATCTGAGGTTTGTCTCCTAATCTGTGCCAACCATATGGTATCTATGGTCGATTTTAGATTAGTGAGTTTGGTTCCTACGTTCTTCAACTCGGTTTTCAATATTGAAGTGTTTCTTTTTTTGTCGAAAATTATTAGTTCAGCATAATCCGCTAGCTGCCTCTTTAAGTGTTGGACATTGTTCTTGTTTAGTTGATATATTTTGGTTGAAAACTCTGCTCCTCATGTAAGTGTATAACCGGCACGATGGTACTTGGTAATAGAGGACGCAAGTCAGGCGGGCCAAGCAACATGGTGGAGTACGGGACGATAGGTCGCCCGCACTGCCGCCAACCATCTCGTCCCAAGTATGAATGGGAATGAGTAGAGTCCATACAATGAGAAACAAAAAGTCTCCAAGGCTGAGGTGTAGAGTATGGGCTCGAAAGAGTGACTAAAACAACCACAATAACAAATAGATATATTCGCTGACTTTTCCAAAGAGAGCTTTTACCTCCTGTGGTGTTATTTGTCATCACTTTTATTTTTCCCATTTCCATGTTCAGGCCCATTTCCTCTGATGCTCTAGAGAAATTACTAGTCATGTGATATCATATCCTTGTTTGACTCTCCTCGTGTTCTCTTTCAGCTGTACTGTCAATGTCCCATTTCATAGAGATAATAAATTCTTTCTGTCAGTTGAGGATTTGTTTACTGCCATTTCTATGACCTATAGCTCAATGTTCTGGAATGCTTTTTCATAATTCAGGAAGCGTGAGAGAGTGGAATATAATATTTGCCGTATGAGAGTTTTTATGTTGAGGAGATGGTAAGCAGTACTCCACGAGAACTAAGCCTGTTTAATTGGTTGTTAATGGTCTATTTCAGGTGGAAACCGCTTACTGATAATTTTCATGAATATATATTTCGATAAAAATTAGATTGAACGATAATTTTCATGAATATATATTTCGATAAAAATTAGATTGAACGATAGTTTATGATGACAGTCCTATCGCCTTTTTGGAAGAGTATGTACGAACCTATAGGTAATTCCATTTCTCTGGTATTTCCTCTTGGTTGGTTGTAGGGAAGATCTAGGCGCTGTGGCTTTCCGTGCACTGCAGCCTGTTAGCTTATTGTGCGCTACAATTTCCTTCTTGCCCTACAAGAGTCCTGTTCCCTGTATCAGGCCTAATCGCCATTGGACAAGATTTTCATGCGATAGTCTATCCCCGGTCTGTATTGCTTCAAAGAGTCTGTATATTTTGTGTGATAGGGCCATACAGTCATGTTAGATGTGGGAAGATGTTCCGTCTTCCTCTCCACATAGTCTGCGTTCAGTGGGTCCATTGACTATCCCCATCCTGTACTGATGCTTATTCACAAGTTACAGTGTCCTGTCAATAGCCCTATCACTTGTCTCATCTGTGTGCGCGTAAGTCGTACAACGTCAGTTGTTAGTTTCGTTGAAGGGTTTCTTATTATAGCCCTTGCCTGATTTTGTCCATGTGTTGAATTCCAACGCGAAAAATGCTGTCTTCTCAACCATTTGTTCAGTGTTGACTTTGCCACTTGGGTCGATATTCCAGAACTGGGCCTGGGGCCTATAAATAGTCTGCAGCTGCAGCTCTCGCTAACCCATCTGCTTTTCCGTTGCCCTCTATCCCTGTGGCGAAGAGTCGAACCTCGTTTTCCTTAGCAAGCTGCTTCAGGTCAGTGTGGCACTCGTCGTCATTCAGGAAGCGATGCGATAGGAATCCAGCGCTTTAAGTGCTGCTTGGCTATCCGTGAAAATAGCTACATTTTGGTTTTCACATCCTCGCGTAATGCTTTGTTGGTTGCATATATAGCGAAAACTTCGGCTTGATATATAGTGGTTTCATTCCTCAGTGATATGCTGACATTCATCTTGGGTCGTTTCCCATGTATCCCTGCCCCCACTCCGTTTGTCGTTTTTAAGCCGTCGGTGTACATAACCCGTCCATCAAACAATAGAGGGATCGTTTTCTTATCCCGCATATTAAGGTCGCACTCGATCCCATATGATATTTCAATGTTTCAAGTCGACGTCATGTGATCCGATCTCATTAGTCCCATAATTATTTCCATTGCCGCCGTGGGAGTACTTCCCATGGTTCCTGAGATGCACAAACTAGCCAGTCTCTGTAGGGAGCTAAATATTGTCAACTAGCTACTTAGGAAAGGAGGACCCGATTTCAACCTTATTAATTTAATTGCCAATTCGATCGGATGTTTATTGCAATTCAGCAATAAATTGATATAAATAGTGGGCTAAGCAAAGCAACAGGCAGACCTGAACCAGTGTTAGTACCGCTACCCTGGGAACACCCCTCTGGAATCAAGTCTCCCCAGTGCAAGTACCGCCACCCTGGGAAAGCCCCACTAGATGAGGATCAGTTAAACGACGATTGACATTCTACGTAGCATTAGCATCAAACAGACATTACTTCCTAAGTAGCGTCAGACGTGTGGCCCTTCTCACGGAAGAGCATGTATCCTGGAGGATTCACGTAATAACTTCTTAGCAAATATACATATTTTTATATAAAAACAGAGCGAGTTTCTCTGCATCTATCCACCCTACACCCCCGTCACAGAGAAGCTGTGACAATATCATGACCGTCGTTTTTCCTCTTACTTCAGACATAGTTTAAAGTGTATTAATGTTCTTCTTTTCCTCATCTCAGCATTTCGGATGTCATTCCATCTTCTCCTGGAGATTTTTTTTTTAAATCGTTAATTGTCTTCTTGATATCTATCATATCTTCGGAAACGATACTTTCTATTTTTTGCTGGTTATTGATTTTTTCGACGTCGGGATCTTGCTTTGAAATGTATAGCTAACAAAAACCAATTTTAACTTTTCAGTTCCCAAAATTGAAATAGCAGGCGAACCAGACATGTTCGTGAAAATGGGCAGCAAAGTACAACTCAGGTGTGTTATAGCGCAGTCTCTTGAAGAGCCAGCTTACATATTTTGGTACCACGACGGCGAAAGGGTGCTGAAATTCGACAAAAACGCCATCGACATACAATTAGAAAGGGAAGGTGCCGATACGACAGTCAGCACGCTAATAATATACTCTACAAGTCCAGAAGATTCTGGAAATTATACGTGCAGTCCGTCTAATCTTGATTCTTCTTCAGTTCTTCTACATGTTTTAAATGGTAAGCTGAAATTTTCTGTATTTTAGTGTGGGTATGAATAAATTATTTACAAAACCTTGTCATCCAAATTTTCCGTCGCGTTTTTCTGAATCTTTGTAGAACCTATTTTTATAGTAATGAATGGAGCATTTTAATTGAAATTTTAATGGAAACAGCTTCACTACAAAACAAACAGTTTTAATAGGAATTACTATATTCCCGGGGGGCCGGAGGTTTTCTTTTACAAGCTTCCCAATAAAACAAAACTATCAAACGTGAGATATAATAAAGTTCCAACATTTGGAGTATTTGGTTTTAATTCTAGTAAAACCAACAGGAAGTTTTAAAAAAATAATTCCTATTCGCTGTCCAATTAAAGAATTTGAATCTACACAACCACCGAGTTGTTTGATTAGGGTGGGTATTTTCTCTTGGCCCTTATGAAAGTAAATATCAATAAAACTCCTGGCTCAGGAGTCTCCTTGTTACTCAACCGAGAAGCTTTTAAAATTGTTTTTTACCATAAACAGCTCTTTTTTTCATATAATTTTGCAATTCAAACCATTGTTTACAAAGGAACGTTGTTCTATGTTCAAATTTTTAGAATATATACGAAAAAACTGGAGGGATATGGTTCCAATGGCATCAAAATGTTTCAGCATTATTTTTTCTATTACTTATTTCTGCTATTCTAATTTTAGCGCTTTGCCTTCAAATGAAAACCATAATGAAAGATGAAACATGATACTACGAAAGCAGTTATAATGTTGCTTGAATGAAATGAGATACCCGTTTCATTTCCGTAGGGTTTTCCGCGCTAAATCGATTGAAACATCTTCCAATTTATTCGAACTACTGACTACGTTTATTTCACGCGTTGTATCCGGATACTAAGTGGATTGGATTAATAATCCTGGAATAACACCCAGGATTGAAGAGTTTATCCGGATCGGAGTACTTAATCCAATCCTCCAAATTTGTAGGAGTGGACCTAAAATGGATTATCTCAAATGTGAAATAAACACCTTAAATCTCGGATTTAAGAAGTTTGTTGCTAACTTCAGGAAAATATTATACAGGGTGGCCCATCGAAAACAGTCCAGCAAGATTTTGGGCTTTGTATGTGAAAATTAAAAAAAAATCCTCAGACCCGTATAATTTTGTTTTCAGGGGGACATATTTACACATTGATTACATCACAGTAACTTCAACCCCTTAGCGGGGGTGGCATTCACCCTTATTTTTTCAAATGGGAAGGGGTATGTTGTGATACATCTTTTGAGAGGGCATTAAATTTTCTTTAAAATGGCGCTTCGTTTTTGAAATTTGTAATATAGGTTGCCGAGAAATTTAATCAAATTATTATTGATTAGTACTTACGTGTTATCTCATTAACTGTTCAAAATGTCCGCCGTTCACCTCCATACAATAGTACAGCAACTGTTCAAAGTGTGCTTGGACATTGTGAAGAATATCAGGTGTAATTAGTCGACATTTATTGGTAATGCGGTTCCGTAAATCTTCTAAGGATTCAGGCTGGGTGGCGTAAATTTTCGATTTCAGATGTCCCCACAAAAAAAAATCAAGGGGAGATAAATCGGGTGCTCGCGCGGGCCATTCGATAGCACCCCTCCTTCCAATCCATCCATAATGGGGAGGATCCCCAACTTGCTGAAATATCGGATTTACTTCATTATAACGTTGGTCGCTTTCCATAATTTCGATCAGTGCTGGGTTGACGGCATGCTCCAACAAGTCTAAGTAAGTATCTCCATCCAAATTTCCCTGTATGAAATATGGCCCAATAATGTGATCACCAAAAATACCAGCCCAAACGTTTAATTTTTGAGGACGTTGAGTAAGAGCCTCATGGTAAAGCCTTGGATTCGTGTCGGCCCAATAACGATAGTTATGTCGATTAACAGTGCCATTGAGAAAAAATGAACATTCGTCTGAGAAGCAAACATTAAAAAGGTAGGTGGGAGTATGTGTAATTATTTCGGACATTATTTCACAAAATTGTAAACGGCGGTCATTATCATCTTCATTCAATTCGTGAAGAAGTTGAATTTTATATGGGTACCATTTATTATGTTTCAGAATTCTCTGTACAGTGGTCCGAGGAACACCTGTTACATCAGAAAGTTTTCTGGTACTTAATCTAGGGTCCATAGTAACTTGACCCAGAACAGCTACTTCTACTGCCTCATTTCTCACCGGATTTTCAATATCCCGTTTTCTGTTTGTCACTGAACCAGTTTGTCGGAATTTTGCTACTAGTTCTAGGACGTAACCATGATGCACGTTTCTTTCTGCATGCCTCTCATTGAACAAAGTTGCCGTTACTCTTGCACATTGAGTGTTAATAAAATACAATTCAATAATTTCCACTCTCTCCGCAATAGAATAAACCATTTTTTATCGAATGTACACCAAAGAAAATCACAGAAATATTGAACTATCCACATCAACTACTTCACCGAAGATAAAGTTGAATTGTCGACTGATATTTGTTAGTTTAAAAACGATGTTTTGTTCACGAACTTATTTGTAAATAAGAGATGCAGTAAAATGTTTAAAATTCCATTGCTCGGCGACGCGTAGCTCAAATTTAAATAACGAAGCGTCATTTTAAAGAAAATTTGATGCCCTCTCAAAAGATGTAAGTATCACAACATACCCCTTCCCATTTGAAAAAATAAGGGTGAATGCCACCCCCGCTAAGGGGTTGAAGTTACTGTGATGTAATCAATGTGTAAATATGTCCCCCTGAAAACAAAATTATACGGGTCCGAGGATTTTTTTTAATTTTCACATACAAAGCCCAAAACCTTGCTGGACTGTTTTCGATGGGCCACCCTGTATTTGTCATTTATAATATTTTTGAAGGTTGATGTTATTTAGTTTTATTCAAATATTTTTTGATGAAAAACAGGTGTGAGATGAGAAAAATTTTTACCTTTCAATTATTGTTAACTAAAACTAGTTTTCTTTATAAAACCAAATAAGCGGAAATTAGTAATATTTGGTTTCCTATTTACTGCTTATTGTTTATATTTATGTATCAGCTGATTGCTTTCAATGAAGTTAGACCCAAACGACGCAAAGCAATTTGCGCTTGCTTTTTTAAGGAGGCTTATTAGCACTAATCTTAATCCTTCCGATAGTTGCGAAATAAACGAATATGGAGTAATAATCCTTAATCCACTTAGTATCCGGATACAACGCGTGAAATAAACGTAGTCACTCTCTAACAAGCTATGATCGATTTTGTAGGATAAAATACAAACATTCAGGACAAAAGTACACTAAAGGCTACGCGGACGATCTTGTCATCGTTGTGACTGCTAGGGTACCCAGCACTATTGAAGGTATCATGCAAATACCTCTTAACATGATCGAAGGATAGTGTAATAATCACAGGCTTTTGATAAATCCGGACAAGTCCGAGCTAGTACTATTTACAAAGCGAAGAAACGTGGACCTGGAAGGGCTCACGCTTTTTGGATCGAGACTTGCTGAATCCGGTAAGGTCAAATATCTACGGTCATCAAGGACATAAGATCTATCGGACGCACCTAAGGCTTAAAACCCCACATTGTCCACTGGCCTTGCACAGCAGGTATAAAACGTATGGTCACGTACGGCAGCTTAGTTTGATGGAATGCGCTTAGCAAATCCACCTATAGGGCAAAGCTGGACAAGCACCAACGACTGGCCAGCATGGCAATAATTGGAGCCTTTGGAACCACCCCAACGCTGGCAATGGAGGCCATACTAGGAATAATGCCTCTTTTTGGACGCACGGGCCCGAGATGTTTCTGTCAGATTCAACGATTGAGGACAATGAGAGGTCTGATATGCGACATGCAAGGGCCAGGACTGTCACCATCAGACGGGACCCCCTTCTCAACAGAAGGGTTGCAATGCCAAAACTTCAGCCTCCTCAAGACCATTCAAAGACGTCAACCTTGCAAGGGACGACTGGCTATAGCCTGACCCAGGCTTATTCTAGTCGAAGGAGCTCATCTGGTACACAGACGGATCTCTGATGGGGGAGGGTGCAGGTGCTAGTGTATATGAGGAAAGACCTGTGGCGATAATTAGTCTTGCACTGGATCGACACCCAATGGTAAACCAGACTGAGATCTACGCCATACAGGTATGTGCTCAGGAGAATATCCAGAGAGGGCAAGCATATTCATGCATGCAGCGACAGTCAGACAGTAATCCGAGCCCTTTGCTCAACAAGGTCAACGAGAAGGCGGACCAGCTGGCTCGTGCAGGTACCAACACTGCCTTTATTGGACCCGAGAAGCAGTGTATTGTTGATTTTGCATGCATCAGGGCTACCGTACTTCAAATTGGTTGCAGAATTCCACTTTCATAAGCTCAACTCCATTCTTGAGAAGCTAATTTTTTTCGAACCACTTCTGCACCTCGTAATATTATGTTCTGAATGAATGTTGTACGGCGCTTGCAGATGTGGAAGGAAAATATTCTAGTTCTGCTATTACCGTTTCAGTGACTTCTGGTATGAATTATACTTGAGCTCATCAAGGGTAAATTGGTCATTGATAACACCATACAGAAGAAAAATAGTGTAGCTGAGTTTTCAAAATCATCTGCAGTGGGGCCAGACTTCATCCGCATGCTGTGAATATCATATCAGAAAATTATTGTGAAAATTAGATTCTATCTACATCTGATTGTTTGAAGTCAGTCTTGAATATAAAAAAAAATAAAAATAATTCTTAACTGTCGGCCAATCCCAGAAGTTTGAGAAAGGCAGGCAAAATGTAAATGGTGTTAATATTTTATGCGTAAAAACTAACCTTTTTGTCCGTTTATCAGAATCTCAAATCTGCGAGGCAATAAATTTCCGTTCTCGTGTTTTCGACTAGTTAAAACATAGGGGCGTAGTTGTGGGTGGAGTGGAAGGTGCCATTTGCCTGCATTTAATTACTTTAGATCTCCAAAAGCAAGGTCTGCTTTATTGACTTGTAAAAAAAAATGCCGTC